ATATATTTTAAAAAATAATAATAATAAAGAATTAAAAAATAATTAGGAAGAACTCAATAACATAAGATAGCAGTTTGGAGTCTTTTCTTGGGTCTGCAACCACATGATCCTGATAAAGACTTAGGCTTCTTTATAATTAAAAAATGGGAATGTTAGACTTTCTAAGGATATTAAAAAGCACTCAAAATCCAAGCATTGTTCATTTAAACCAACCAGCCTTTGGTTTGTAATTTTTCTCTTTTAATAAGATATAATCACAGTTTTTGCTCACATCAAGTCTTTTCCTCATCAAATAGGGAGTCAGAGAGACCATGAGAAGCTGAAATTTGCAACTCTACTTAGTGAATCACTTTGAAGTTAGCCCCTAATATACAAATTGAGGCATACACCTTTAAGTCACTTTCTCAAACTCACACAAAGAGAAATGAGAAATTCAAAATCAAATTTTATATGTACTTAGCATACACAAAATTACTAGAAGAGAACAAAAATGCCATTTGCCCCTCACTTACTCCATCAGCTCTATTCTTAGGTCCTGTAATGCATTTGATATGGTACAATGAGGAACTCTATTCAGCCATATGGCAGTTCTTATTTAAAAAAAAAAAAAAGACTCCAAAAAAATGACATTCTTTTACTTACCTTTGTAAGAGTACAAGGATGCTTGGGAGGAGATTCTCATTCTGAGCCCCAAATTTAGCCAAAGCACTCACAGCAGCTATAATGAAGCATAAAATGAAGCAACGTAAATATTGGTTTCTTGCATTAAGTAATAATCATTCAAAAAATTAGAAAAGTTTACCCATGTTCAGAGGGAATAAACTCTCTTATTGTTTTATTGTGTCTTGATCTTATTTCTTTGATCCATTTAAGCATAAACAGAAATCTGTAGGCCCAAGAGTGCTATGAATAGGAAAATCCTCCATGCATTGTAGGAAAAATCATATCAATTTCTTTTTATGAGCACTCCTCCATTCCCACTACAACCTCTTATATATCATACTGATATAATTAAGCTATAATCTCAAACAACCAGCTCCAAGCATAAAAAGATGCTCTATTATTAAAATTCACTTAATTCAATAAAGATTTATTGCTCACATAACTTTTGCAAGGAACTGTGATAGGTGCTGGGGAAAGAAAGATAGAAGAAATAGCCCCTGACATGAAGGAGTTGTAGTCTAGTGGGAATGACAGGTAAGTAAAAAGATGATTACAACACAGCACAATAAGTCCATGATAGAACCATATCCAGGAAGATAAGTGAATACAGAGAAAGAAACTTAAGTCAGAATTGGTGAAGAAAAGTAGAGCTAAATATTGAAGAACAAGTAACATTAGCCAAAGGGAAATGGAAGGAAAATAGTATTAAAGGCAGAGAGAATGACAAGTGCAAAGACCCTCAGTCCAGAGAAGAAAGCATAATGTCATATTGGAACTAGACACAGGTGAGGAAGGCTGAAGAATAGGATCCCATGTTTGAGAGCAGGAGCAGACAAGAGAGACTAGAAATAAAACAAAAATAGGTTGTGGTTTAGCCTCTATTATTAAAGGACTAGAGCCCCAGTGCACAAAATTCATGCATGGGGATGGGTGGGGGGGTTCCTCAGCCCGGCCTGCACCCTCTCCAATCCAGGACCCCTCAGGGGATGTCCGACTGACGGATTAGGCCCGATCCCTCAGGGATCCCCCTAACTCAGTGGTTCTCAACCTTCTGGCCCTTTAAATACAGTTCCTCATGTTGTGACCCAACCATAAAATTATTTTCGTTGCTACTTCATAACTGTAATGTTGCTATTTTACGAATCGTAATGTAAATATCTGATATGCAGGATGGTCTTAGGTGACCCCTGTGAAAGGGTCGTTCGACCGCCTAAGGGATCACGACCCACAGGTTGAGAACCACTGCCCTAACTGCTCTCCCCTCCCGGCCTGATTGCCCCTAACCTAACTGCTCTCTCTTGCTGGCCTGATTGCTCCTAACTACCTCTGCCTCATCACCATGGCTTTGTCTGGAAGGACGTCTGGAAGATGTCTGGTCTAATTAGCATATTACCCTTTTATTAGTATAGTTTATTAGTATAGACTAGAGGCCTGGTGCACAAATTTGTGCACGACCTCGGGGAGGGGACACAGTCGGATATCCCTCTCACAATCCGGGACCTCTGGCTCCTAACTGCTCACCTGCCTGCCTGCCTGATCGCCTCTAACCACTCTGCCTGCTTGCCTGATTGCCCATAACCACTCTTCCTGCTTGCCTGATGCCCCTAACTGCTCCCCTGCCTGCCTGATTGCCCTAACTGCTCTCCCCTGCTGACCTGATCCCCCTAACTACTCTCCCCTACTGGCCTGATCGCCCCTAACTGCTCTCCCCTGCTGGCCTGATCGCCCCTAACTGCCTCTGCCTCAGCCCCACCACCATGGCTTTGTCTGGAAGGATGTCCGGAAGATGTCTGGTCTAATTAGCATATTACCCTTTTATTAGTATAGATTATTAGTATAGACTAGAGGCCTGGTGCACGGCTGGCGGGAGGGGATGTGGGAGGTTGGCCGTCCCCGCCCCCGATCGGGGAGGGTGGGGAGTGAAAGGGGGTGGGACAGGCCAGGGGGAGGGGCCGTGGCAGTTGGCAGGCTGGTCCTGCCTCCTGGTCGAACTCCAGTCGAACTCCCAGTCAAGGGGACAATTTGCATATTACCCTTTTATTACATAGGATGTTAAACACAGGATGAATTTGTGTATTTGCAGCAGAGTACGCTACACTAAACTTATAAGCAGATTTTAAATGCAAAGTCCATTTTTGTAGCACAGTGTGGAGTACAGACTGGATCTGTATGAGAGTGGCAGCAGTCACACTAGTTGGCACTGGAAATGAAGGAGAGCCTAAAGCAGCACCCATGAAAATAAAGGAAAAAGAGAACGAAGAAATATTAAAGAGTCAGAATTGATGGAATTTTGCCAAAGAACAGGTGGAGATTATAAAACAGGAGAATAAGTTTCTGCCTTTCCAAAGGAATGGATGATAAAGGTTTGGGTGAGTTTAGTTTTAAGTTGAATTAGAAGTGCCTTAGATAGTTGGACATAAAAGTTCAGGAAAGAGACATGACTGCAATGTCACCGCCTATGAATAGAGCTCTGAAAATGATCACCAGAATAAGTGTGTACGGTAAGAAGACAAATCCCTAAGAAAACTATTATTTTAGGGAATGGAAGAGAAGCTCTATAAATAAGACTGAGGAGTGATGGAAAGATGCAGGCTATTGTGGAAGCCAAGGGAGAGTTTAGTCAATAGTACATTAAACTGACTGAGAGGTGAACAAAGATAAAAACATTAGAGTATTTAACTTGATTTTCCAACTCGCTTATAAGTGATATATTTTTTAAATAGCTTCAGAGGATTTTTAAGGAAGAGAGCTAGATTATAGTGAGTTGAAGAGAAAGTGGGAAATAAGTTCATGAGTGGCTATTTCAAGTTTATCAAACACGGGAAGTATAGGAAGGATCCCACCATCAAGTAGAAATTTTCCAATTTCATCACCACCCCCTTGAGTTACACATTTAAAAAGATCAGCAGTTACACCATTATCAGTGTTCCAATGACTTACCAGCTCTAACAGCCTCATTTTCCAGTACGACTCTATTGAAAATAAAGCGGATATACTTGGAGGGAGCAGGCGTTCTGGGGCCCTCTTTGCCCAGCAAGTGTAGAATCTTTGTAGCCAGAACAGTGTGTTCACAGTCCTCAATGAATTCACAGAGGTGGGCTAGACCTGCTTCTTTAGCCTCAGGGTTCTCTTCCACAATGCTGATGATGCAGTCCACAATGGCCCGTTTATATTCAAAGCCTCCCTGGCAAAAGAGAAAACTCCCATTAGTTCTGAGGATGGTTTTTGGAGAAATGCTTATACTCCAAGGCTTATGCTTATAATATTAAAATTTCCCTTCCCTTCCTTCATGAAAGAAACAGAAGTGTGTTTTTTTCTGCAGGGAAAGCTAGAGCCATAGCATGTTTAGTAATGATAAGTCAGCAACCAGAAGTAAGCACACTATTTGAGAGACACATGCTGCTTTAAATACTATGACATTTAATGGGAATCGTAAGAATTTAAGAGAGCAACTTCCTATGATTTACAAACTAGTCCACCTACATCGTCTCGGAGCATGTTGGAGAGGAAAGTCATCATGACGCCATGCTTTCTCGGGTATTTCTGACAGAGAGCACTAATTGCCTGTACAACCACCACCTGCAGAAAAACAAACAGAAAGGCCATTCACCTTTATAATGACTGTACTGCTACCACCCATAAAAAGACCAACACAGAAAGGACATTCATCTTTATAACTTTAGCTACTAAGCATACTTTATTTACTGTAAGCTAAGAAGGCGCTGTAGTTATTCAAAATTGCAATGGTTCTTCATGAAAGATAAGCCAAGAGACCTCAAGGGAAAATAAAAAGTTCATTCAAGAGACCCCATTCCTTTGCTCCAAATAAATAAGCACATAAAAATTTTAAAGTGAACAGTAAAGATTAAAAGCTTAAACAGACTGATTTCCATAGAAGAAATAGAAAGTTACCATAAAACTACTTTACCAAATGGTTTCTAGAATAATTTTACCACAACTTTAAAGACCAATGTCAAGTGAGAAGGGTGGGAGATGTTACCTTACTTGCAAGCTAACAAGCGAGCCTGCCACAATTTCATTAATGCTAGTAGAAAACATGAGGCTCCAGGATCAGAGATGAAAGACAGTAAATTACTCATTGCAATAGCAGTAGCTACCATACCAGTATTTGGAACCAGTTTCCTGAGCCCCAATCCCCACAGGGCAATGCAAAAAGGGGCAGATAACACTGAGACCGGCAGTCCACTGCATTACAGGAGAAGAACCCTGAGGTATGGCACTTGAGTATTTTACAATGGGCAATAAGCATGCCGGTCTTGTGTTCTGAAGGGAAACATTATTTTTCTTATACTGGACAGTGAGCATGTTTGCTTTTTGCTCTACAGCAGTGGTTCTCAACCTTGTGGCCCTTTAAATACAGTTCCTCATGTTGTGACCCAACCATAAAATTATTTTCGTTGCTACTTCATAACTGTAATGTTCCTACTGTTATGAATCGTAATGTAAATATCTGATATGCAGGATGGTCTTAGGCGACCCCTGTGAAAGGGTCGTTCGACTGCCAAAGGGGTCGCGACCCACAGGTTGAGAACCGCTGCTCTACAGGGAACAGTAGCTTTGTCTTCTAGAGCTGTATTGAAATATGCCCTGTACAGGGAGACACTATATTTTCTAAGGTTGGAAGATACCTTGCACTACACAAAGGGAACAAAGCTAGGACAGTAGGAAACAAAGGGCAGTTAGTGCCTAACTTGCAAGATGTGCAGAAATACAAGAAACTCCTGGAGAATTGGGAATTGTTTCTCAACAACCAGATAGTCCCAATCTATACACATCATTTCAGAACATAGAAAATGAAGGAAAACAATCAATCCGTTGCCTCCTGTATGCACCCAGCCAGGGATCAAACCCACAACCTAGGTATGTGCCTTAACCAGAAATTGAACCAACAACCTTTTGGTGTATGGGATGATGCTCCAATCAACTGAGCCACCTGGCCACAGCAAACATCCAGTTTTTTTTATGAAGCAATCATACCAAAACGTAATAAAGATGTGATACATGCAAAAAGGAAAATTTTAGATGGAATTCATTTATAAATATTGATGCAAAAATTCTAAGTGATAGATTAGCTAACAACTCCAACACTACAGTAAGAAAATAATATTTCATCATGAAATGGGATTTATACCAAGAATGCAATAATGGTTCAACTTTAGAAAATTAGTTAACATAATGTATATATTAATGAGTCAGTAAAGAAAAATCATATGATTATATCCATAGATGCTGAAAAGACTTTGATAAATATCCAACACCCATTACTAATAAAAATTCTTGAAAAAAAAAATAGAAATGGGTAGATAGTTCCATTTTACATACTCACACCTCAATCCTAATGTCAGCATATTACTAAATAGAGAACACCAAGAGGCATTCCCATTAAGGTCAGAAATAATATAAGGATGCCACTATCGACTATTATTCAACATTACTATGGAGTTATTAGCTAATACAATTAGACAAGAGAAAACAATTAGAGGAATAAGAATTGAAAAATAAAAGACATAACTATCTTTATTTACAGATGATATGACAATATACCTGGAAATCCTACGAAAGCAATAATAAAACTAAATAAAATATTCAACAAGGTAGTAGGATATAAAATTAAATGCAAAAATAATACTAATCATTGCATGAAAAATAACTAGTTAAAAGATATAATGAGTTAAAACATATAACAACAAAAGATAATATAGTTAGGAAAAGCATTTAAGACATTCAAAACTAATAAATATTAAATATTTTGAAAGGCACAAAAGTAACTTGAACAAATTATAAAACATCACTATTCTTGGTTAAAATGTCTTAACATTAAGTTAACTTATAAATTAATGTGATCCCAATAAAAACACCAAGGAAATATTTTTATGAAGCTAGACAAGTTAACACTAGTTCATAAGGAAAAATATACACATAAGACTAGCTAGGGAAACAATAAAAATAAAGAGTTATGAGAGGCAGCTAATAAATATTAATACATTCTGCAAAGCTTCTGTATTTAAAATAGTGTGTGATCGTGATTTATGAATAAAGAAAACAACATAATAGAATAGAAAGCCCCAAAATAGACCCAAGTACAGTACTTTAGTATATGTTAAAGGTGGTATCTACTTATTTAAAAACCATGGGTGGTGTTCATCACGACCACAACCGTCAGCAGCCAAGCGGAAGGAAGTCTGTCCTGCAGGGGTTGTCTTGGCAACGGCTGCCCCCTCCCCCGAGCTGTTTCCCAGAGCTGTTTCCGGTGAGGGCAGGGTTTGAGGCAGGAACCCGCCCTCGGAGCATGGAGGCATATCTTTATAAAGTGTGCTACGCCAGCACGGCCAAGGGTGACCCTGAGTGGTGGTGGCAGAAAGGCTTAGAAAAGACAGACAAGAGAATGAAAGCTGGGTCTCGGTGGGACGCTGCTTCTCTGAGAGATAGCAACCACGACCACAGCCGTGTCTTTATTTTATAGCAGATGCCATGAGGCAAAGTAAGGGCATGACCAAGATGTTTACAACATTCTCCTGGGTTTCAATCCTACAACTACATGTACCTGAACTCTATAAAGCCTACATCACTCAGGCACGTGGGGCCACGTGTTCGGACCATAGGTTCAAGCTTACAACTATAGCTGTTGGCTATAATTGTGCTGGGAGGGCCCTGCCCTCCAAGCTGGGACTTACACGTGGCAATGAGAGGACTGTGCCCTCTCATCAGTCCAAGGCTTGAACCTGTCCAAAACACTGTAGCAGCTCCCCACAATTAAGTTTTAATTCTGTTTCTTTGTTACTAATGTTGTGGCCCCACCCCATAACAAAGAAACAAAGGAAAATTTCCCCATCGAATTTCTGAATAGTATTACTCCTTTGGGAATGCC